TGTGGGGCTGGTGGCCCCAAAAGAGCTTGTGCCACAGCACAGGCCTTGGTGCCCCTCGCTTACTGCCTTTCTAGGGAGAAGTAACCTTGATGGTACTCCCAGGTCTGTTTGCTGGGCTTGTGGGATTGCTGCGCTTCTTTACCTATTTATTTGTGGTTGCGGGAGTGATGTAAGAAGGCGTAGGAATGCACTTTTTGGTAGTTGGACATTAAACGTTGACTTCTTACCTGTAAAGCTGTGCTCAGAGCGTTTGAATGCGGGTTTGCAGAATAGCTCTGTAGAAAGCATTGAGAGTCATTGAAACAGATGGGGAAGAGCAGATATGATGGACGTTAACTTTTTCTGTGCCAGAAAAGCAGTAAATACTGCTTATCTTAATGGGCAGTCAACGTGCAGAAAAGGTGGCTGCTGCTGCCAAAGATGAAACCAGCCTCTGGCTTGCTGAGGACCAGCAGTTCTCACAGATTCGTTGCTGTCCAAGACTGTGGGGGTAGCGTTTTTGTACTGGCTGGAATGTTTTCAGCATCTCTGGTAAAAAAAAAAAAAAAAAAAAATGGATCATTGTTTCATGCTGCAGAGCAGAAAAATACAAAGCTGTTCCCTCTCTAGGACGGCTAAGCGAGAAATTGGTAATGACGTAAGGAAATGGTCTGAAAAGCTGCAGCAGAGCTTGAGCAGCAAACATCCTTCTCGCTGAGATGCTACACAAAAGCTCTGACATTCACTAGTGTGGAGTATAGTTTGCAGAAGCAGAGCATATTAATTACATTATACCTGACACCACAAGTATATGAGCCAAAGATCAGCTGTGCCACCTCCTGACTAGTGACTATCGTCTGTCTGCAATTCTAACGGTACACCTCAACTTACTAATGCTTGCTTAGAGCATGCTCCCATCCTGTTTTTAGGAGAATCTTTGGAATGCAGTTACTTTTTATCTAATTCATGTGATCTTATTCCTTAACAAAATCTTCAACCTTACTGGCGCAGTTGCTTCTGTGTATTTATTTCTGTTTCAATAATGTTCTCGCCTGTGAAAGTTTGTAATTAAATAAGGATCATTCTGCTGCTTGTTAGTCTGAGGCTGCAGTTCACACCTGTGAAGCGCTGCTTCCGACCTCAAAGGCTTTATACTGTAAGGAAACAAGCAACGTGTTAAGATCAAATATGTCTGTCTCTTACTTCCTTTTTCTGCTTTTAAATAACTTCTTTTTTTAAAGTATTCCAAAGATCTGTTTCCTCCTGCTTCCTTGGGATAAGCTTCTTGCTGTCGGAGGCGTGCGTGAGGGAATCAAAAGACACTTGCCAGCTGCACTTGGTATGGCAAATGATGGGTAGAATGTGTGGTTACCGGTTAACAGCAGCAAAGGCAATTGGGAGGGACGCCTTAGAGTCCTTTACCTGTCACTGCAGTAGGCATTGGAGCTGTAGGAAGTGGGGAAGCAAATTAATCAGTATTCCACCACAGAAGTGAAAAGAGAATGCTTTAAAATGAAGCTTTCCCTCCTCTGTGCGTGATCTTTCTAACTTAATGCTGTCAGATAACCGTGTTAACTTGCATAATAACTTTCCTTTCTTATTCTGCTATTGACTTTCCCCTTTTCCTTTAGTTATAGATGCTCTTCTGTTTCAAATCTCTAAGCTAATAGTGAAAAATATGTAAGGTATGAGTATGTTGTGCTTGCATGTTTTGGATATTTATGCCTGTGTAGTTTTTTTTTTTCTTTTTTTTAGTGACGTACAAAATGCACTCACTCTTCATTGTGCTGTGTGTGTCAGTCAAATGGATGCTTTGTAAAATACCATTTGCTTCTATACTTTCAAAAAACGCTGTACAAAATTGGTGGTGTATGCCCTGTTACTTTTTTGTTTTTTCTTCCCCCCCTCCCCATGTTGTATAATGTTATACGCTCTATTGGGCTTTCAGGCTGTTGACTGTGGTGCAATGCACACAGACTGGAACTCCTGTCTTCTGGAAGAGACCCGTTCTGAAGGGAGACAGGAGGGGAAATAATTACGGAAAAAAGAAATGAGAAGCATCAACAAGAACTCAGTCATGTCTTGCAGTGATACCAGTTCTTACCGTCTCGGTTTTACAGGCCCTGTTCTGCTTCTCTTTTTATTTCAGTGGGGAAGTAAGATTGCACTGTATGGAGTGCAGAAGGGCAGTACAGTAGTGTTTGAAAACTGAGTCAGCTGTGCACCACAGACTGATACGTGGGAATACCTAGGGAATATTGACTCCTGGATTACTACTGACAAGCTTTGTTTATATAAACTTTTCTCAGTGTGCTCTGATTAGTTGCGTTTGATAGGACAGCTTCAGCATTATTTCTCTCTCGGATACTCAACAGGATGTTGATCAACGTGATCCACGAGGCCGGACCTTGTTGCACCTTGCTGTTTCCTTGGGTTATATAGAATCTGCCAAAGTCCTCCTTCAACACAAGGCAGACGTAACTAAAGAGAATGCGCAGGGATGGACAGGTAAAGATAATGTGGAAAACAGCAGTCATGTGTTAATACTTTTCAGTTGCAGATGTACTTTAGCTGCTTTTACATTATGTATTTTGCTCAGAAAGCAAACTGAAACTAGCTTGGGTCTGCATTTCTTTCAGTTTTACATGAGGCTGTCAGTACAGGAGATCCAGAGATGGTACAGATGATTCTGCAGCATCGGGACTACCAGCAGACCTCTATGACGCTTGGAGGAGTTCCTGAATTACTCCAAAAGATTAATGAGGTAATTATTTAGTTTAAACCTCTTACTCCAGACTGCAATTCTCATTCAAGTAGTACAGTTAACTGAAATCAGATGGGCAATTGTGTTCTTCATTTCAGCTTGCATATTCCATAGCGCTGTGGGAGGTGGGGACTTCTTCCTTGACTTTACTTTGAAATCCTTAGTCATGAACTCCAACATTGGAGGCTGAATCTTGAAAGTGTTAACTGCTCCTGTAGTAAATTAAGGAGGAGTAGCTCATCAGAAAGCAGCAGTGGCAGGCCATATCTTTTATGTTTGCTAGTTTCAATTTCATTTTTTTAACATCCTTTATCATGTCTTAAGGTCTGTTCTTTTTTTGTTTTCCTTTATCTAAAATGTTCAGGAGAAATGCTGTACTGAATGTTAGATTAAAACTTTCATGAAGTATTCATGAAGCATTTTCCTTCTCCAGACTCCTGACTTCTACGTGGAAATGAAATGGGAGTTCACTAGCTGGGGTAAGAATCCCGGTCATCGTTACCTCTTCTAAACTGTGGACAAAGGGACTTGCTTATGTACAAATGTCACAAAAGATATGCAGAGAAATATCTCCTCTCCAGAACACTTCTCTCTTTGCCTCTCAAAATAACCTCTTATATTTTTGTTGCACAATTATTCTTTGTTTCCTGTTTGTTTGTTGGTTTTTTGTTTGGTTGGTTTTTAATGGAGAGTTTAGCCATTGTTAGAATTGATGAAGACTTTCCTTGGGGTTTTGTTTACCTGTCTCTGGCTATCGATGACTAAGACAGTGATACGTATCTCAGATGTAGATGCGCAGATTATTTGGGAAGTACCTGCTTTTCTTGGCCTTAGAGTTGACTTAGTTTTCCAAACAGCTAACTATTAGACTGCTAGGAGATGGGATTTATGCTATTTCATATCTTTTAATCTTAACTAATGCCTTCTTTCTTTTCATGTTCATCTTTAATTTAAAGTTGGAGGGTTTTGTCCCTAAGCTGATTGTTCTTAAAGCTAAAGAAGATCAGTATCTCACCTCCTCTGGAATAATGATCATAGTACTGAGCAATCCTGTATCAGGGAAATAGTTTCCGCTTCAGTTCAGACTTCCTGTGCACTTAGTATCTTGAATATTTTCTATTTACATTTTTCTCATTTTTCTTTTATAGTCCCACTGGTTTCTAGAGTTTGTCCAAGTGATGTCTGCCGCATCTGGAAAAGTGGCGCCAAGCTGCGTGTTGATATCACTTTACTGGGCTTTGAAAATATGAGCTGGGAGAGGGGACGGCGTAGTTTAATTTTCAAGGGAGAAGGTAAATATTTTAGCATGTCTGCACCATTGATCACCAAATACTGTGTGAGCCACAATGAGAAATCCTGATGTTGCACAAAGATCTGTTGAGGCTGAGTACTTAATTTTATAAAAGTTTTACACATCTATTCCGTGAGTGTCTCATAGAGATACTGTTTTGTGGTTTAACGTAACAGCTTAATTTCTTTCCTTTGAGTAAATCTGAGGTCAAAATTTAGTAACAGGGCTAAATTTGACTTCAATCTTTTACTTAGTTTTCCCCCTTCTGTTCTCCTGCCCCCTAAATAAAAAAAAAAATTTAGACACAGCTCCAAGTTTGATCTCAGCTGAGTGCAAAATACAGTGAATTAGTGTCCACCCTGATTTGATATACAGTATATTCTCAGTTTTTCATTCTGGAATACTGTTGCTAAGATTTTTTAGATTGAGATGTACTATTTCCAACAGATACTGGAGGTTGGGCAGAACTAATTGAGATCAATCATGATGATAAGTTTGTTACAACGGAGCGTTTTGAGATTTCCCAACACATGAAGCGTTTGACATTGGGATCTATGACACCAAAAAGAAAAGATGTGGAAAGACGCCTTACATCTCCAATTATTAATACGTGCCTTGATACAAAAAATATTGCTTTTGAAAGGTAAGAGACAAAGTTTCTCCTCAAAAATAAACACTTCAAGATAACGGATGGTCATACTTGCAATAAAGATTTAAAGACAAACTCTCAAAAGCCCTGGTAATAAAAACTTTTAGGGCTAGATCTGAAATGACTTTAAACTGTTAGATAAAGAAATTTGGTTTGGTCAGCTTGCCGCTATTGCTTGGCAAAAAGTTTCCAGTTGAAAGAACTGATTTGCAGAAAACTTTCAGTTTATCACATTAGTGAGATCAACGTTAATGTCTCAATACAAGTTTGCATTTCACCCAAATTCATACGTATAGCGCTGAAACTAATGGGCAAGAACTCGCATCTTGTAGCTACAAGTGAGTCATCTCACATTAATACTTGAAATAAAAATATGTGTATAGTGTGTCTTTCCACAGACACGCACTTGTCTTCCTTGTTTACTACACGTTTATCCAGGCATCTGTCAGCTTAGTTCAATCCTTTTTATGAAGCTCCTTTTGGAGTGCTCTCTGATGCAGTAAACCACCCCCATGATCATACAAAACAAGTGTTTTCAAAGAGAGATGTATAATTCCAGCCTTTTTCTCCTGAATGTTTAGTACCCTTTCAAAGCTGCCCAGAATTAGTCCCTGTGATGTTCACTGAGCCTTAGTAACTGCAGCATCTACACATCCAAAAACAGATTTCTTAGACAGAAGTATTCCTACTATCCAGTTCCGCAAATTGCAGTGACAGGTTACTTCTGAAATTAAACTGTGTGTTAAAAGCTGCCATGCCCAGGCTGTCAGACAAAATAATTTGGTTAGTTTTTAGGCTGTCCTCTGTGGCTCGGGTATCCACATCTCAATCTAAAATCTCTGTCTGAGCCTTTGCGCTTTGGCCATGGGTTGCATAAGAACAGAAACAGCATGACTCCCTCAGCCCTCTTGCGATACATGTGTGTGAGGACAGATAACTTGTGCTTTTGTCTGGGGTTAATAGTCAAATAACCTATCAAATATTTTTTAAAATCGATTTTAGAAAAATGGGCTGGGGATTGTGTAGAAATGCAACTGTATAGACGCTTGTGGTGTTCACTTTTTGTCAGAACCACATCTGGATTCTGGGTATGGAGGACAGAAAAGGCAGAAGGTGTAAATGGTTATGAAGCAAAGGTAAAGACCATTCTATTCTATTAAGAGGTCTTATAGCTAACTGAAGTGTGGTTGTGTTTTGCCTTTATTTCCTGAATATTTCAGGTCTTAAAGCTCACATCGAGAGCTTTATTGTGTTGCTAGCAGAACTGGGCAGGAATGAGGAACTTCAAGGCTGCCAGGCTTGTGGGAGGGATGGTGCCTGTATGCAAGAACGTCAGCAGGGCCTTTAGGGGAGAGGGAGGATCAAAGCATGTCAGGAGAAGAGGGGCAAAAGATTCAGCATAACTGCTAGAACCCCCTTTCATCCAAAAACTGGAACCGAACTCATTCTTGAATGTCATCATTCTTTCACTGTTAAGAGATGAGGAACCCATTGGTGAAGTGCCCTGAGCACTCTCTATGACAGTATTGCGAGGAAATAACAGCCTCCTGCTACCATGAGTTGCATCATGAATTCAAGTAATAAAAGACTGCTGGTAAATTAAAGACCCTGACCATGCGCATGAGTCATATGGTTGCGTAGATTTGTTCCATGTGATGCAATTTTTGTCTTCCATTTGGTCAGTGACCAAACTCCTTTGCCATTCTTTGGCACAGCATGCTTGTGAGATTAATGCTGTCTGGAGATACTGTGGTGTATGATTTGCAGGGTTTCTTGTTTTATCAACTTGCCCAGCAGGTGGCATGTAGTTTCAGCCTTATCATAGGTCTGTCAAGAATATATTAGGTAGGATTTCCATTATACCAAAGCGAAAAGAAAAATCAAAGTGCAACATTTCCTGTTGATCACCAGTATGTTAGAGATTAAGATCTTTGTCAATGAGAGGCAGATCCATGCTGCTTTATTCTGTCTTTAGATTTGTGTACATGGTGTTTTACTAGAGAGAACTCTCTTTTTTTAACCTGTGATGCTTTTTGTCCTTGTACTTTTTTAAAGGTATACATTGCAAACAATGTGAATGTGGTCACAAAAATCCGAACGGAACATTTAACAGAAGAGGAGAAGAAAAGATATAAAGGTAGTTTTCCTATAGGATAACTGGAAATAAGTAGAACCTCTTGGCTCTCTGATGCCTTGTCTGTGTGCCTGCAGAAGAACTGGGCAGATAGACAAGAGAAATACTTTTCTTGCTGACTTTGCCCTGCTTTACTTTCACATGTTGCGTGCCTGAGGCAGCTCATTACTTGACTCCTAGCCTACAAATGAACCAGTGTTTATCCTAGCTGTATTTGGAGGAAAGAAGAGCCCTTCAAAACTGTTGAAAGTATATTGAAAGTTTTAAAAAGCTGCACTTTTCCATGCTTTTTCCTGCTCTGCAATGTATTCGTGCCTTCACTTCACTTTGGCCATGATTGCAAGATTCATGTAGGCTTTGTTTGCTTGGACTTTTTGTTTTGTTTTTGTCCACTAAGTTGTTCTACTATTTAAACTAGAGTAAAGGGTGACCAGCCAGTAAACTTGTATGGAAACACTGCCCTTCATTCACCTACCTTGGGGCCCAGGAGGGGAGGCACGGTGAATAATACAGCTATCTGCTAATGATAAAACCACTGAAAATCTTTGCCTCTATTCTGTGTATTGGACCCTTTTTATACTGTCACCTTCAGGTCCTGGGCTTGCCTGGTAAAGCTTACAGGAAATGTGAACAGCTTAGTTCACTTTGGGTTAAGAAGCCTTGCTTGTTAGCCTGGTGTGTATGTAAATTTTACTGCTAATTAATAGTAATAGATTTTTTTTGTTTTTCGATCCTGTTATCTGAAGCTGACAGGAACCCCCTGGAATCATTTCTGGGTACGGTGGAGCATGAGTATGGTGCTCAGGTGAGTGTCTTTGATGTTGAAACAGGTCACTGCAGCACAGAGATGTGTGCCAGTAGGAATTCTAGGTGTGTGGAATCACCTCTTGTTTCCTCAGTTTGGCAGCAATTTTGATTATGAGGTTCAAATTTTCCCTGAGGCTGTTTTTGTTTAAGCCCTCAAATGCTCTGTATAAATAGCAGGTACCTCCTTCCGAATACTCTTGTGAAAAAGACATAGAATCCATTAGTACAGCCAGAGCTGGGGTGTGAGCAGTGACAGTAAATCTGAGCAAGCACAGATTTAGCGGCAACCCACCAGTAGTCTGGGAAGTCACGTCCACAGACCTGCAGGCGCCTCAGGTGAGAGACAGTGCCGGCATGGTAATCATCAGGCAAAGATATGATGAGAGGATGAAGTGACATGTTAGTACACTGCTCTTCAGCAGCTCGGGGGACAGCCATATATCCTCTGCTGTTCTGAAATGTGTTGATAATGATTTCAATATGGCTTTAGAAACTCCCTTGCATGTGTACGTACTTAAGTAGATAATAGATTTGCCAAACGCTGGCTCTGTATCAGGATGGCATTGCAGATCTTTCATGGATCTAGAGATTTTTCTTTAAAATACCCCGTCAAAGCTTTGTCTTTAAGGATTTGGAGCCTAGAAATGCTGTAGCTTGTGTGTCTCTGGTTGGTTTCTAGCTTTAAAGTATTTGAGTAGATTTTCCTGTCTCTAAAATGCTTGGAGATTTTTAACCTCAATAGAAAGCAGTCTAAACATGTGTGCTTGTGTCACTGGTGTCTAAAATAGAGAATGAGTTATTTCACAAGAGGTAAGTTCAGAGTTTCTTATAGTAGCCACTGTCTATTTGTTCTGTAGTTTTGTAGGTTTTTTTTTTTCCTCTCTTTCCTTATAGAGTACGACCAAGACAACAGAGTATGCCACAAGTAACAATCCTACTGCTATTACTCTGGAGGAATACTTTGACCCACAATTTGATTTGAAAGGTAGAGACATAGGAAGACCGAAAGAAGTCACCATTCGAACACAGAAGTGAGAAATAAAATTTTAACTATTTCTAGTTTGTCTCTTCCCAGTCATCTAATCTCTAGCAACCACTTTTACAAATACCCAGTGTGGTTTTCGCCCAGTTTTCAAAATTAATCAAAAGAGAGATCTTGGAGTATTCAGCTGTAGTCTAATTCTTCTTCCAGTAGGTCAAAGAAAAGACTTGGACTAGTGCTGTAACTTGTTAGTAACCTCCTGTGCTTTGCCTTTAGTCTGACCAGGAATGTGGTTCAGTTTCTCAGGGGAGTAACTGTTCTAACTCTTTGAAATGTATGGAGCAGGTGACAATGCTGTGTCCTTTGCTTTGCATCTGTTCCTAAACTGTAAGCTTAAGATGCTCTTATGCAACTTTCTCTTTAAGATTTAAAGCAACCTTGTGGATGAGTGAAGAGTTTCCCTTGTCTCTTATGGAACAAGTCACTCCAATCATTGATCTGATGGCCAGAACTAGTGCGCATTTTGCCAGACTTAGGGATTTCATCACTCTGGAATTTCCACCAGGATTTCCTGTCAAAATTGGTAACATTTAGCAATTTTTATTGTAGCATCTTTTTCATTTCCATTCTTTCTATTGGTTTTGCAGCATATATTTACAAAAAACATGTTAGTTTTTTACTAGTCATCTCGCTGATGCCTAGAACTGAGAACCGAGATGTACGTTGTCTTGTACATCTGGGGTCACTGAATCCAAATTCTGAATGACCAGTACAGAAGTATAAATTTTAAAGACACTATCATTTCAATAAGAATGAGCTGTTGCTAAGCCCTTTCCTCTTAGCTTCAGTGCCTTAGAATTGGCAAATCTTACAATAAAATAAGAGATCTGGAGAGTGAGAATGACTAAGGGCAACTTCTTGGTGAAGTGAGTTACTATATACTTTTATGGGATGGTGCTTGCGGAATATATTCAATAAATATTTAAATATATTTAAATAATA